GACAGGTGTGATGTAACCTGTGACAGGTGTGATGTAACCTGTGACAGGTGTGATGTAACCTGTGACAGGTGTGAGGTTACCTGTGACAGGTGAATATATACCTGTGTGCTCCCAGGTTGATGCAGCTGATTCCCAGGTTGTATCTGGACCGGATGAACCCGGGCTGTAGATCTAGCGCTCGTGTATACGCCTCCACCGCCTCCTCACTGCGGTCCCCGTTAGCCAGCGTTGCTCCCAGACGGTTCCACAGCAGGTAGTCCTGAGGACAGACAGACAGGAAATATGATGTCATCATCCTGCAGCAGGGTAAAAATCTGCCCTTTAAATTTGAACACATCATCAGTAAGACTTTCACAGTTGTCCCTGCTGAGAGCTCAGTTTACAGATGTTTCCTGAACGCACCACAAGCAGAAATTCAATGAAACCAAAACAGSTCTGATCTAATGTAATTACCTGCGGTCTTACAGACAGAGCGGCACTGAAAGCCTCCACCGCCTTATCAAAGTCTGAGCTCAAGTTGTAGAGGACTCCCAGTCCAGTCTGTAGGTCTGGATCCACACAGTCCACATTCAGCAGAGCAGCTTCCTGGAACAGCAGCAGGATGTCCTGCAGCTCTGTACTGTAGACAAAGAGAGAACTGTGAAGATCAGATTTACCTGCCGAGCAGTGTCACCAGGTGTTTCAGGTGATCCTGGTGTTCCAGCTGCATAATCCACACATCCGACTAACCAACCACCCACCCAACCAACCAAACAACTAACCAACCATCTAACTAACTGAACACACATCCGACTAACCAACCACCCACCCAACCAACCAAACAACTAACCAACCATCTAACTAACTGACCACACATCCGACTAACCAACCACCCAACCAACCAACCAAACAACTAACCAACCATCTAACTAACTGACCACACATCCGACTAACCAACCACCCAACCACCCAACCAAACAACTAACCAACCATCTAACTAAATGACCACACATCCGACTAACCAACCACCCACCCAACCAACCAAACAAATAACCAACCATCTAACTAACTGACCACACATCTGACTAACCAACCACCCACCCAACCAACCAAACAAATAACCAACCATCTAACTAACTGACCACACATCCAACTAACCAACCAACTAACTACCCATGAAACCACCCAACTAATCAACCACCCACCCAACCAACCAAACAACTAACCAACCATCTAACCAACTGACCACACATCCAACTAACCAACCAGCTAACTACACATCCATCCAACCAGTCCTTTGCACTGCACATCCCAACATGTCCAGCTGTGGATGGATCTGTCAGCACAGCAGTCAGACAGTCACTGTAGTGTTCAGACTGAACTCTTGGTTCCAGGACTCTGAAGGTTGCTTCAGCTGTTGTTTTACCTGGCTAACGTTGCTTCAGCTGTTGTTTTACCTGGCTAATGTTGCTTCAGCTGTGGTTTTACCTGGCTAACGTTGCTTCAGCTGTTGTTTTAACGTTGCTTCAGCTGTTGTTTTACCTGGCTAATGTTGCTTCAGCTGTTGTTTTACCTGGCTAATGTTGCTTCAGCTGTTGTTTTACCTGGCTAATGTTGCTTCAGCTGTTGTTTTACCTGGCTGACGTTGCTTCAGCTGTTGTTTTACCTGGCTGACGTTGCTTCAGCTGTTGTTTTACCTGGCTGACGTTGCTTCAGCTGTTGTTTTACCTGGCTGACGTGGAGCACAGGTGGCCTCTGCGGGGCGTGGCTGGGGAACTCCTGCTCCTCTGGACCAGATGTTTGTACCTCAGGTTGTGACTGATCCAGTGGTGCAGAGCGGCGCAGGCCTCACGCTGCTCACCGCTGTTAGTGTAGCTAACGGCGAGCGCCATGAGGGCTGGCAGGTTGTTGGGACGGAGCTCCAGGCACCTGCAGCAGGACAGCAGTTAGTGCTTACCTGTTCAGCGACTGATCTGATTGGTCAGTGAGGACGACACCTGACCTCTGCAGAGACATGATGGCAGCTTCTTCGTTCTCATTCTCAGCCTGAGTCGTTCCCAGCAGCTGCCAGGCCTGAAACACATGAGGAAGAGCAGGTGAACTGAAACTCTCTGAACCCATTTGGGTCCAGCTGGTACCTGAGCTTTGACTCCTACATGATACACGGTAAACTGGACCAGGACCAGTCGGGTCTAATGGATCACCTCAGCATCCTGTGGGTCCTGTAAAATGGCGGCCTCCAGCAGCAAGACAGCGGTGTTCAGGTCTCCCTGACGAGCTTTCTGCTGAGCCTCAGTGAAGACACCGGACCGGTCCCTGTACGGGTTCTTGGGACTGAAGTTAGAACCCTGCAGGACACAAAACATTTACCAGCTTCATGACTCATTAAACTGTTGTCTATCTTTTATTTCTAATATCTTTGAGCTTTCCTGTGAGCTTTTATTGTGAAACACCAGCAGGAAGTGGTGGATTTTAACAGGAAGTGGTGAACTCATCATTTTAATCTGGTCTGTAGAAAGAAAGGAGCTGATCTGGGATGTGTTGGTCATGTGGGAACAGATGTTAGACAGCACCTCTGTTGCCACGGTGACGTAACACCTGAGCAGAGGGCAGGATTAGATTAGGATTACTTCTGCTCGCCTGTCACAGCTGACCTCAGACCAGAGGATTAACGTTGCAGATTAACATCTCTGTGATAATCTGAAGAACTGCACAGATGCATGCTGGGAAGATGGGACCAGTCTAATACCTGAAACATTCTGAATGAAAACTGTTTATCAGACTTCTCCTCTGGAAGAAACTGTTTGTTTCTGGTTCTGTTCAAAAACAACCACTGATTTCTGAGTTTAACGATGACATCACCTGCTCCACAGGTGAGACAGTGGGCGGGACCTGGGTCTGACTCTCTGACTCTTCCAACCAGTTCCTCCGAGCAAGCTCCTCCCACTCTGCCTGCATCTTATCCCAGAACTCTGTGTCCGACTGCAGCACAACAAAACAATMAAAACAARCATCATCATCATCATCAACAACAACAATAAACAAAATAATCAAAACAAGCATCATCATCAACAATATAAACAAAGCCAACTTCATTAACAACTACATAAAAACAATCAAAACAAACGGAGGTGAGACAGGAAGACGTGAGACAGTAAGACGTGAGACAGGAAGACGTGAGACAGTAAGACGTGAGACATGAAGACATGAGACATGACGAGGTGAGACAGTAAGAAGTGAGACAGGAAGACGTGAGACAGTAAGACGTGAGACATGAAGACATGAGACATGACGAGGTGAGACAGTAAGACGTGAGACATGAAGACGTGAGACAGTAAGACGTGAGACATGAAGACGTGAGACATGAAGACATGAGACATGAAGAGGTGAGACAATAAGATGTGAGACAGAAAGACATGAGACATGAAGAGGTGAGACAGTAAGACGTGAGACAGGAAGACATGAGACATGAAGAGGTGAGACAGTAAGACATGAGACAGTAAGACATGAGACAGGAAGACGTGAGACAGTAAGACATGAGACATGAAGAGGTGAGACAGTAAGACGTGAGACAGTAACACGTGAGACATGAAGAGGTGAGACAGTAAGACATGAGACAGGAAGAGGTGAGACAGGAAGAGGTGAGACAGGAAGACGTGAGACAGGAAGACGTGAGACATGAAGAGGTGAGACAGGAAGACGTGAGACAATAAGACATGAGACATGAAGAGGTGAGACATGAAGAGGTGAGACAGGAAGACGTGAGACAATAAGACATGAGACATGAAG